AAATTTTTGTCTAAAGTAGTTTCTCAGTTTCATTTAAACCATGCAGTATATTTACCTGTGTTCTTTCCTAAGCCACATTCATTTCCGGAGAAGCAGACATCAAGTGACATCTAGCCAGCTGTCTGGACAGGACTAAACTGTTTTTTGCTTCACCTCATTTGTGTCATATGCAGATAGTTTTCAGGGTCAAGCAGTCTTTTATCATAGAATATCAGGGTTGGAAGGGACCTCAGGAGGCCATCTAGTCCAACCCCCTGCTCAAAGCAGGACCAATCACCAACTAAATCATCCCAGAAAGGGCTTTGTCAAGCCTGACCTTGAAATCCTCTAAGGAAGGAGATTCCACCACCTCCCTAGGTAACCCATTCTAGTGCTTCACCACCCTCCTAGTGAAAAAGTTTTTCCTAACATCCAACCTAAACCTCCCCCACTTCAACTTGAGACCATTACTCCTTGTTCTGTCATTTGGTACCACTGAGAACAGTCTAGATCCATCCTCTTTGGAACCCCCTTCGGGTAGTTGAAAGCAGCTATCAAAACCCCCCTCATTCTTCTCTTCTGCAGACTAAACAATCCCAGTTCCCTCAGCCTCTCCTCATAAGTCATGTGCTCCAGCCCCCTAATCATTTTTGTTGCCCCCCGCTGGATGCTTTCTGATTTTTCTACATCCTTCTTGTAGCGTGGGGCCCAAAACTGGACATGGTACTCCAGATGAGGCCTCACCAATGTCGAATGATCATGTCCCTCAATCTGCTGGCAATGCCCCTACTTATACGGCCCAAAATGCTGTTAGCCTTCTTGGCAACAAGGGCACACTGTTGACTCATATCCAGCTTCTCGTCCAATGTAACCTCTAGGTCCTTTTCTGCAGAACTGCTGCCTAGCCATTCGGTCCCTAGTCTGTAGCAGTGCATGGGATTGTTACATCCTAAGTGCAGGACTCTGCACTTGTCCTTTTTGAACCTCATCAGATTTCTTTTGGCCCAATCCTCTAATTTGTCTAGGTCCCACTGTATCCTAGCCCTACCCTCCAGTGTATCTACCACTCCTCCCAGTTTAGTGTCATCTGAAGAAAACCGGCCCCAGGACCGACCCTTGGAGCTCCCCGCTTGATACCAGCTGCCAACTAGACATGGAGCCATTGATCACTACCCGTTGGGCCCGACGATCTAGCCAGCTTTCTATCCACCTTATATTCCATTCATCCAGCTGATACTACTTTAACTTGCTGGCAAGGATATTGTGGGAGACCGTATGAAAAGCTTTGCTAAAGTCAAGGAATAACACATCTGCTGCTTTCCCCTCATCCACAGAGCCAGTTATCTCGTCATAGAAGGCAATTAAGTTAGTCAGGCATGACTTGCCCTTGGTGAATCCATGCTAACCGTTCCTGATCACTTTCCTCTCCTCTAAGTGCTTCAGAATTGATTCCTTGAGGACCTGCTGCATGATTTTTCAGGGACTGAGGTGAGGCTGACTGGCCTGTAGTTCCTCTTCACAGACTCTCTCTAAATGGATAGCATCCTGTATCAGGACTGCATATGAGATAACTTCGGCGACACCTCCTCAGCAGCGCGATCTCATTCTACAAGAGTGCAAGCAATATCTATATCTTTCCTCAATGATGTCTCAATATTGGACATTTGCAGGGCTGCTACATGGTTGTCCACACATACGTTTCCTAACGATTATGCCATTATCACATCATCCAGAGTGGATGCAAGTTTTGGTAGGGTGGTCCTGCAATTCTTGTATAGGCAGACTCTGAGCCCCTCCTCCTGGGGTGGGTACTGATTGTGAGTCACCTAAGCGGAATACACAGCTGCATCTACTTGAAGAAGAAGAAATGACTGTGGTTATTTGATATGTGGTTTCTTTGAAAAACTGTGGTTCTTTGAGATGTGATGCCAAAGTGTTTTCCACGGCCCACACCCTCCTTCCCCTCTGCGTCAGAGTCTGGTCTCTGGGTGTTTGGTGCTAAGGAACTGAAGGGGGAGGAGCTACGCCATGAGGTGCAAGCGCCACCCTCTGTGTGTCCTGTTAGGCAAAATTCTCCAGCTCTGACACGCTGAGGTACACACACCTAAGCGGAATACATGTCTGCATCACATCTCAAATAACCATAGTTTACAGTAAGTGTCCATTTCTTTTACCTGGTGCAGCTAACCAAGGTCGTATAACTTTGGAAGGTTTAGGAATTGATCCATTTTATTGATCACATGTGTTGTGCAGAGGCTTAGCATCTTTCCACTATAACAGCAGTATGTCCACTTGCATTGTATTCTTACAAATTAATCTTTTATTTTTTAAATGGAAGTACACTTCTGCTTATTCTTACTGTTGCCCATATAGCACTCTGCACCTCCCACCCAAACAATTTGATCTTATTTGGCATACAGAGCTTTTTTTTCCTCTGGGTTGGTTGCATATGAGCCAGTTCTTATACTACTGTTTGGCTAGCTTACAGGATTCACGCATGTGATTGTCTACCTCAGATTTGCAGTTCAGTTAGTTCAAGGAGATATTCTGTCTGCCTTCATTCTTTGCACTGAAGCTGAAACCTCTATTTCTGTCCATCGTAAAGTTTAACTAGCTTGATATGACAGGTTTCAGAGTAGCAGTCGTGTTAGTCTGTATCCACAAAAGGAAAAGGAGGACTTGTGGCACCTTAGAGACTAACAATGAAGTGGATTGGATGAAGTGAGCTGTAGCTCACAAAAGCTTATGCTCAAATAAATTTGTTAGTCTCTAAGGTGCCACAAGTCCTCCTTTTCTTTTAGCTTGATAATGAAACAGATAAGTTTAGTGTATTGTACTGCTGTACTAGTTTTATATAAAGTCAAATGGGAAATAGAAATGGCAGTTTTTAAAATTAGGTTTCTTGTATAATCCCTCTTTTTGTCTGCCTTTATTACCCACTTTTTAACATCTCTTTTTGGCAAGAGCCATTAAAATGAGCCAAGAGTAACATACAACGGTCAGGAAGCTATTTTTAAAGTCAGGATGTACTCTGAATATTTCAAGGGCTTTCATGTACCCAAGGAGTGAGTTTTATTGTGAGATGACTAAAATGGGTACTTCTGGTCAATTTCATACCCAGTGTAACTCCATTAAAGTAAATGGAGTTAAGACTAAATGTGGCCCTTTAATTGTAATTAAAATACCATTATTCTTTTCCCACTTTACAATAAAAAAATTCGTTTTTAGAGTTCCTTTTTAGGAAGCAGGAGTGTTTAGTACACCTGAGTAACCAAAATTACCATTTCAGCACTATAAAAGGAAAATTATATTTTAAAAGGATGCCAAATTGGAAGAAAACACACTTTAACAGGATCTTGATAATGAAAGAATTCCTTCTAAAGTCAAAAGGCACCGAAGGTATTTTATCTGTAGAATTCTTGAACACATCTATATTGGAAAAATTTCTGTCAGACTCCCATTACATTTTGATGATGCGGCTACTGAAGTTGGCTCCAGGTACCTTTTTTTTTTTTTTTTTTAAGAGGTCATGCAGTCCTGCTGCTTTTCCCTCCCCTGGAGTCATACCCAACCCTGCCATCAATCTGCACACACAGCTCGCATTGCAGGATGACGGCAATCTCAGGATATACATGTTGTCATGCTCGGTTTGTGACATCAAAATTGAAAATGATTGAAAATCTGGAAATGATGGTTACAAATTGAATATGACTTCATGTGAGAAATAAACAGCAGGAACTCATGAATTGTAAACACAAAGGCTGTTTTTCAGTCATCTGTCCATCCCCAGCTAAAAGTTTAGGAAGAGAAGTCAGAAAATGAGAAGGGGGGTATGTTTCTGCCTGTCATACGCTCCTTGAGTGGTATGTAAATTGTCCATTGAAGCAAATGGGTAATACTCAAGGCAGAAGAGGGCCAGTGGTGAGCAGAACTGTACCTATTATAACAAGTTTTCCACAAGGCATCAGTGATTCTTAGTTGTTCTGTTTCTGTTTATTCCACACCTGAATTCATTCCTCTGTGCGTGGTTTTGTACTCATCTCCACAGAAATAATTGTTGTTAACAAAGGATTATGGCTATAGGTGGAGAATAAATAGCAGGAGCAAATGATTCATTAAAAATAAAGTCTGTCTTCATCCAAAGGTCCTTACGGGTAGAACATAAAAGAAGTGGTATAATATAAAAGGAGTAGAACTCACTTTAAATACAATGGCCACTATTTTCAAAAATTGGTGGCTCAAGTTTAGGCTTCTCTGTCCTTATTTAGATACTTCATTAAATGGCCTGATTTTCAGAAGGGCTGAGCACACAGCCACTCCCACAGATGAGCAATTTACTTGCATTAAAAGAACTTTCTATATTAGATAAAGTGAAATTACAACACTAATGCTGTTTAAGGACCCAATCCTGCATCGTGATAGTCCTTATAGTGGAGGGCACTCAGAATCTCAAGGCTTTGATGCCAGCAACTAGAAAACATTCCAAGAAATGTGTCATAATTGGAAGTATTACAGCTTTAATGGAAAATAGTGTCTTCAGTTTGGTCAGAACTACCAGAAATGTTCTGTGTGCAAACATATACAATAATGGGGAGGCATAAAAATACTGGCCAAAGGAGAATTCTCATAGCTCAGTTCAGCCACATGGCTGATTTAGTGAAACTATTCTGTGATTCAGTGCACCAGCCTGGAAAGAAAGGTGATCTATTTCACATGGAAGTTTTGCCTGAATGAAAAATCCAGATGTTTGATATTGGCTCAGATGTACAAACTTTGTGGAACAACTTCAGGTCTGTTTAGTGCTATACCTGTGCAATAACCTGTAACCAGTGAGTATGTTTGCAATCCCTTTTGGAGCAACATGTGAATAATCAAACTGATATGCTTCATTGATGTGACACTGCATGCAAACACAGGAAGCCCATTTTAAAACACCCCAGTCAGTTTTCCTCTTTGGTAGATATACGGGGGGTGGCGGTGTTTTGTTTTGTTTTGTTTATTTCATTTATTTTGCTTTATAGTACTCGCGAGAGCTTGGCTTCCAACACTTCAAGTATTGTTGAGAGTAACAGACGTCAGAACCCAGCTCTGAGTCCTGCACATGGTGGCGCAGGTCCAATGTTCAACTTCCGAGCAATTGCAGACCCTCCAACAAGTGAAGCTGAAAAACTGCAGAAACCTGCTAACTGCCTACAAGCTTCTGTTACTAGTGTTTGATAGTCCTTCTGCCTCGGCTCTTCTGTCTCATCCTATACAGCAAAGTTTACGACACTGGGACTGATGTTTACATCTTTGGAAAAAACGAGCATCTCATCCACAGTTTTGGTGTTTACTTAAACTGTGCTGCTATGTAGGGACAACAAAGAAATCTTGTATTTCAAGGTATTGCTTTCCACACCTGCAGCTCTGTAGCAACAGAATAGCAGTAGGAATAATATGTACACCTTTGCTTCACTTAATTGTAACTGAGCACATATATGAAAGTCTAGACACTGTAAGTGTAATCTGCATTTTCAATGTCCATGCAGTTGCCAACTCCATTTAAAAATGCCACAGATGCGTGATGCCCCCTGTGAGTGGTTAAACTCGGACAGAGTTGATCATTTTATTTCAAAAATTGAGCCACCACTAAAAATAAACAGCTAGGTCACCTTGAGGGAAAACAAAGCCAAACATGACTAGTAAAGACCTCAGCTCTATCTGTGAATTATTTATACATCAGTCATTTTCACTGTGAGTTTTCATGACACGATTTTGCAGGAATCTATAAAAGCAAGTCAAAAGAGGGCATGTTTTAAGTATGTGGGGTGGGTAAGGGAGAATTGCTGTATTTTATTTTTTTGTTTCAAAAGTATATGAGATGCTTGTCTAAAACTTACTATGTTAACCTTCCATAATTGCAAACAGAGTTGAAGGCCTTTGAATCCAGGTGAAAGGAGGGGAAGTCTAACTATGATTGAGGCAAAGCAAATAGTGACAGAAAAGGCGTAACAGGTTTTTTTTAGTATAAATCAAATGTTTAAGGAAGGTGATCTCATTGGTGTGGCACGTCTGATATTCCAACGTGCTGTTAATATAAAAATCAGAATAACAAATTTATTTGAACAAAAGAGAAGTTCTTTGTGATACAAATGACAAGCATGGCCTGAAGAGCTGATTTCTTTCTAATGGAAGGACATAATTCTATTTTATATAGCTTTTAAGTAGAGTGCCTAAATTAGGCTGTTGAAAATAGCGTGCATTGCAGTGGTTATCAAAGGAGAAATTTAGAGAATTATAAACTTCAGGCCTTTTAGTCAATGGGCGTTATTTACAATTCAGCATTTTATGGACATGTATAGCTTTTAAAATTATATATGATTTGAAATTAAATGTGTTCATATGGTTGATCGAGAAATCCTAATTCTGCAGGCGTGGTGTATCTTATTTGTACTCCCTTAAATTGTTATTCCAAAGTAATTTATGCTAACTTGATTACTCCAGAGTAACTCTTACAGATAGGCAAACTCCACAAGTAATTTTTAGGTATAAAGGGCCAAGTTCTGCTCTGTTACACATGCAAACATTTACTGCAGCAAACTGTCTCCAAAAGTGCCCACATTTGCTATTTTATCAGAACTGGAAGAAAAACGAAAACGTTAAGAAGGATGTTCAGCAATGTAAATACTTACATTGCCTTTTATTGGTACCCAAGATATTACACCCAACAGCACATATTAAAAACCAACATTTTCTTCAGTTTCTGGTGACATGTATGACTTGTATAAACCATTTGAGCTTCACTCATGTTCTGTATTGTCATCAGAATTCTTTAGTAAAGATATAGCTGTATATTACACAGTTGGATATAGCTTACATATTTATGAAATGGCTTTATAACTCTGGACACAATTGGTTTCTGATTCTGTCAGGTATATCATACAGAACCTATGTCTATATTCTAACTGTTTTCCTTATTTCTATGCCTACATTCCATTTCATAAGAGCAATAAGACCTTTCAGTGCACATAAGGTAAATCATTGTGCTTCTTGGTTGGTTAAAGTCACTTGGCCCTTAGCCTCCTGCCTTATCATGCCTTCCAAGCCATGTCGTGACCCAATAATACTTTGCCTGTCCCATCTTATTGCTTAAATATGTAACTTCAGGATTGCTTATTACATGCAGACTTGAGTCTTTTTTGTGAGGCATCGTTATATATGATACAGTGGCTGACTGTGATTTTTGTTTCTGAGATATGCTCTGATGTTAGTAGTATGTATCAATTCAGTAAATAAAAATGTTTGAACAATATCTTAACTTATAGCTGATTATCTGAAAGTACAAATTGCAGTATTAAAATGTGAACAGAAAAGACAAACTTTACCTTTTTGGGGAAAACATTTTCTTTGTTATAAACTTACTAAAATTTATACAGGTAGTTGACTGTACAGAAGACATCTTTCCAGAGAAATATCATAGTATCTACTTAAAAACTGTATAGTTTCTGATTTCTGAAAGTTCCCATAGTCCAGCAGACAAAATAAAATGTCATATTAATGTTAACATGGCATACTACTGGTATTAATGTGACTCTCAGAATATGGAATGTAAGCAGAAGTTTCAAATAGAAATATTCTGATCTTGAATTTTTTTAAAAAAAAATCAACAGGGGAAATATAAAGAAATTCCGTTGTGAGGTTCTGGTAACAAAACCATGGGAGTGGAGCTTGAGTGCTTTGTGTCACCTTACTCCTTCAATGAAATCATAGCCTTGTATTACATGGTTGCTTATCTATCATTCTTCTTACAATTTAAAGGTTTACAGAATTAGATTAGGTTGAATCTCTGTGTTGTGTCAACTTTAAAGGGTCAACACAAATCTGTTGGCATTTTGCACACTTTTAATATGTATTATTATAATACAACATGTTACTTTTATGGTAATTTTTTTTACATATATAACTACCTCCATGAATTTGATGAAATGCAGCAACATGAAAAAAGTGTTTTGTAAAAAGCAAGGTTAAAAAAATTCGGTATCATTAGGTCATGGTGTTCTCTTGTGTATCAGTGCTTGCATACAAAGTCATTATGTTTTCATTGCCATGATTTCCTTTTCCTGTATTAAATTTGGCTTTCAGTTTAATAATTTGAGATTTTGATGAGGCCACATAATTTTGTTAAGAGTGAACGGAAGCCTAATACCTTCCGTTGTCTTGCCGTTATTGCTAAATTTTTTACTTGGTAGAAAGTCAAAACGATAGTTAAAACAACGAGGAGTTCTTGTGGCACCTTAGAGTCTTAGGGCTTGTCTACGTTACCCGCTGGATCGACGGGCAGCTATCGATCCAGCAGGGGTTGATTTATCGCATCTAGTCTAGTTGCAATAAATCAACCGCCAAGTGCTCCCCCGTTGATTCCGGTACTCCACCGGAGTGAGAGGTGCAGGCGGAGTCGATGGGGGAGCGTCAGCCATCGACTTACCACAGTGAAGACACCGCGGTAAGTAGACCTAAGTACGTCTACTTCAGCTATGTTGCTCATGTAGCTGAAGTTGCGTAACTTAAATCGATTCCCCCTCCGTCCCCAGTGTAGACCAGGCCTTGGTCTCTAAGGTGTCACAAAGGACTCCTCATTGTTTTTGCTGATACAGACTAACACGGCTACCCTTCTGAAAATGATAGTTGTAATTTAGCAGATTATTAACACCTACAGTATATGAAATATGATTGGCAGTTTGGAGTTTTACAGAAGACATACCAGGTTTTTTTTTGCCAACCTTCAAACACTTTGGGCCCTATTCTGCCTTCAGTTATGCCAACATATCAAATTAGAACTTCTCTTAAATGGCAGGACCTGTGTGCTATCCAGCTCTCATTTAAAGAATGCACACTTCATTTTCTAATCCCATGTATCTCAGATGCTTGCTTCCATTGAAATTAGTGATGAAACTTTAATTGATTTTATTGAGATTAGTATCAGGGTCCCTAAGTAAGGTGTATACAGAGGTGCCCATCCTGCAAAGAACCTGGGCAGACTTCCAATAAAAAGGGGGTTAGCTGTAGAGTAATAGCCAATTACAAGTTGCCTTTTTTAAAACTAGAAAATTTCAAAAACCAAGGAAAATAAGTGTAAGCTTCACCTTAGCAGCTCTAATTTATGTACAAACCCTGAATTTATTCAAGCATACAGAATCCCAATACTCGGATGTAAATTAATATCACTAGATGAGCCAATTTTCCTGTGTACATATTTTAATTTTTTTTAAAAAATGAGAATAGTATCCATTTGACTCAGCAGAGCAATGTAAACACCCACATGGTAGAAAGCAATCCTCACCCCCATTCAAACAGTAAAATCTATTTGAAAACAACGTTTTTGATGAAAACCTCGATCTTATTGCTGGTGATGGTAGTTTATTTTTCGAAAAAGTCGGATCATAAACAGTATTTGGAGCCCATAATAAACTATAATAATATTTTGCACTTCTATTTCATGCCTTTTACCTGCGGATCTCAAAGCTGTTTGCAAACCATTAATTAAGCCTCACAAGCTTGTGAGGTAGGCAAATTTTGTTATCCCTATTTAACTCACTGACATATTGAAACATAGAAAGGTTAAGTGACATGTCCAAGATCACACAGAGTCAACAATGTGATTATCAAACAGTTTCTTTATTTCATTTGAGTCATGACAGTAGGTTTAATGTTTTAATATTTAACCAAAGTGCTTAATGTTTATACTATAAAGATATTCTTCGGAGGTGTTACAGTTATTAAAGTAGGAGAGAAACTATAGTCCTGCACTGGACTTTGATATTGGAAGTGCCAAAAATGTTCACATTTCAGCAATAGGGCTGCTGCCAATAGTGGTTTCAGAAAAGTCAATTTTAACAAAAACTTGTTTTTCAAATACATTTTACAGGGCTTTCCCCAAGGTGATACTTCAAATTGCTATACTGAGTAAGAATCTTCTTTTAATCTAGTGGCACACCATAGTTGACAATCCTCTCTGCTCCTCTGAAGAAGACAGTATAGTATTAAAGAGAAATGCTGCAATTTTTTACTTAATTCCTTTAAATGTTACCCATAATAACGCACATAATTTAATTAGTCTGTAGTTTATTAAGGCATCAGGATTTCCTGTTTATATACAACATGCCCAGCTGGAATTATTGAAGTGCCACTCGTGTGAAAGGAGAATGGGATTATCACTTTTTTTTTTTTGGTAGCAGCATTTCAAATTTTTACTTCAGTTACACAGGCGTATATCTGGAATAACTTTACTGATTTACACTGAGGTAACTAAGCTCAAACTCCATCCTTAACTCATTGAAGCTTTGTTCTGAGCTGAGGGTTTTTGTTTCCCTTCCCTGGGAAGAATATGTAGAAGAGGCAGAAGGCCACTCACACTTGGATTTGAAAATAGGACTTTGGTCGAATAAACAGGTATTTCTCCCATGACTGTATATGAAATCTGTAGAGAAATGCACAGTCAGCAAACCTCCTGCCCCCTCCCCCCACCCCTCCCGGCCTGGATGCTAATGCACAACCATCTGTTTTGCACAATGGAAGGGCAAATCTCTGTTCAGTATAATGCACTCATCAAGCTGTACAGTGGATAAGAGTCACCCAAAGGATGCCCATGTGAAAGTATGAAAGGTCTGAACAGGGCTCTTAGAGTAATTGGCACAGATGTTACTTTTATACATAGAGGAGACTTACGTTTAAAGGGATCATAATTCTGCAGGTAACTTTCTGTGAGTGACTGAATGTGACCGTCGCTTTAGGTTTAAATGAGTTAATAAATGCAAGTGGGACTTACTGTATATTAGAAGGGAGTTTTGCAGCCAAGACTGCCTTGTATAAATGTGTTTGCACTGAAAATAAATTTTAAAAATTACTTGGTCTCTGGTTGCTGTAAAGGTCATCCAAGATGGATGTTCTGTTTATATTGTATGATATTTCATATGAAATAATTACAGTTCATAAAATGTCTTCCCTAATGTTACTGATTTATAACAGCACATTTGTAACATGGTTTTTATTGTGTCAGTGTACCATACTGTAAATGATGATTACTTGTCATGCTTAGTGTAATAATTTAAAGGAGAAAAGGACAGGGATTTTTGTAAGTCTATATATTTGAAAGTCCCTCCATATGGTAATATTGTGTACATGTTGTTTACGTAGTGTTGTGTGAAATATCCATTTTGGATTGTGTTACTTTTTAAGATATTAAATAACATTTGGTTATATGTTTTCAGTGGGTTTTTTTGCACCTTCAAGGGATGTGGAGGGCACATGTATTCTTAAGTTTCATCCCGTGTTTCTCTCCCTCATTTAGTAAAATGTGCATAACAAATTTGCCATCTCAAAAAACAAAGGTAATTGTAGCTTGATATTTTCATGGATCCTGAATGAAATCCCGATGATCATTTCTAGTAATAGAGAAGCAAGGGTGAAAACTAAACATAAGTATAGGATTTAAAACTCCCAATTTGAATTGGACATACAAGCTAATGCAACTAGAGTGAACATATTTATAATTGAATTTACAAGAATATAGTTAAGGTGGATCAGACTTCTATGAAATGCAAAATCCTTTAAAGCATTGTAAAGTCAACTGGAGACAAATTTCAATTTTCCTTTTTTTCCCCTTTGCCATCTGTGTGGGCCAGAGAAGGTCATGGTACACAGACAGTGGAGAGGAAGAACCACTAGCAAGGTGATTGTTTTGGTGAAGTGCAGATGACATTGTGCATGGAAACAGACTTGACAAATCATAAACAAGATTTACATATGCCATTTTCCTGCCCTCCCAGGAAAGGCAGGAGGAAGGGTTATGGAGAGATTTTGACCCCAAATGTTTTGGGTTGGCTCTGGAATCTTGTCTTGACTACCAAAACAACCACCATTTGCCTGATGTAATGTTCATATATGCCCCAAGGTCAGGTATAAAGCAATACGTATTAATGTTTTGGATATCAAGTAAGAGTTTCTATTTGAAATGGGTTCTGGCACTCAGTTCCTTGACTTGTCAATTCTCTGTGATGCATACAACTATAAATACTACAAATACTCTTTTCTATAGTGCCAGAAAAACTGCACCCTTTCACCCATCCATCTGTTCCCTATTGCTTTTCATAATCTCATCCCTAAGAATATTTTTAGACTAGGAAAAGTGGTCATATTTCAGCAGGGGTTGGCTGATACATTTTAATTAACCCTCATCTAATGCTGATCCTTTCTCCAAAAAAGGGTATATAGATATGCCCTACATCGAGCCATGTTCTGAGTGGCCTGTAGGCAAAGCAACCTCAGTAATCGCTCCACCAATCAATCAGTCCTACAGTCTAGTAGGTAGCCCCATTACTGTTAAGCAGCAGTAATTTGGCCCAGGTGTGTTGTGGGGTTGTTGGGGGGTTTTTTTGTTTTGTTTTTTCTGAAGTACCTCTCTTCTGTTTTTTCTTCGGTTTGGTTTGGTTTGGTTTCTGTAGTGTTGGAGGACTTCACGGGATAGCTTTTCACCTCTTAGTCTGTGATTTCACCTGCCATTGTCTAGGAGGAAACCTAGATTGTGTTCCCAGGCCCTTTATACACACATCCTAGAACTATATTTGGAAACCCGTGTTTGAACTTGCTTCATACCTGTTCAAGCTGAAGGTTCAGAAATCTGGAGACTTCATGCAAATATCTTCATGTTTTAATTTGCATATGTGAATATGCTTTACTTTACAGATATGGTGGCCAGTGTCCTGATTAGCAGAACTGTAAACCTGACAAGGATGCAGCATGGAATGAGCTTTAGAAGCAAAGGGATTGCTATGCTCTGCCATCTCCCTGGAGTGGCGTTGTGAGAACTCGGTGGCAGCTTGAGGCTCTGCCGCTGGCTGCTGCTCCTGCTGGAGTGGGTGGAGGGATGTGGTTCAGTTGTCTTGCTGGCTGCTGCTTGGCCTGGACTGGAAGGGCCATCTGACAACTTCCTGCAATTTGATGGGGGCTGCTCTGGTTAGCCTGAAGCTGGGTGCCTAGCTCTGGCTGTTCCTTGCTTGGCTGCCCCTGCCTGTTTGGAGCAAGGGGGCAGAGGGTGAGGCAAGTGGAGTGTTGTGGGGATAAAGAGGGTTCTGGCCACTGATCCCTGGTTAATGCCCATCCATGTGGCTATGCACAGATAGCCCAATGTCACTTTAACAATAGCTCCAAGCCTATGGCCATGGGTGGGCTGAGCAACTATGTTCTCTTGCTCTTTAATTGGAGCCCTGGATTCTTAAGCATAGATTTCCTACCTGGGATGGCCCTTAGCATAGAGACATAGCATGGAGTGTCTCCCTAGCTCTCCATATCAGGAGATTACTTCTGCCTAGAAGCTTAAATGTGGACAGCAGCTAAAGAGAGCAGACTCTGGCTGGCATCTCATCAGGAGACTTGGTCTCTGTCTAAACATGGTTTCAGTTAACCTGGTTCAGAATCAATTTATCTGGCCACAGTGGTTTCAACCCAGTAACTTTTTTAAAATGTACAGTGAGCCCTTCCTTCTCTCCACGTTCCCCCCTGTATCTGAGTCTCTTTACCATTTTCAGTTTCTGAGTTTTCCTACAAACTGATTTTTCTATAATGTATCTCTTCCATTTTTCCTCACTCTTCCAAATTATCTTCTGATTCTGCTTCCCTTTAGCATCTTATTTTCCCCATTAGTATTTTCTTTTATTACTTTTCCTTGACTCTAGATGTTCCCTACTTCCCCCTTTAAATTGAATTTTTTCTCCTTTGCCCTCTCTCAAAATCTCATCCTTTTTGTACAAACTTCCTCTTTCTTCAATCCCTTTCTCTTTTTCACTCCTCCTGCTAATTTGAAATAGCTCAGTTGAGGTGAACTGAACCATAGCTTCAGGAAAGGAGCTCCTGCCATTAGGTGTCTTGTGAAATGCTGCTCGGGATTTGAGATTTAAAAAATGTGAAGGTGTCTAAATACCCCCAGCCTTTCATCAGCACTGTCATTTATATCCTCCCCCTCATTTCCCTCACTACCCTCGTATTCCTGCAATACGTTCTTCTGCCAAACTTCTCGGTGTATATTTATAGCTGAGTAACGATGACTAAAATTCCAGTCTCTGAAGAGCTTTGGGATATTTATACCACATCGCCTTCCTCTGTGCAATAGGGCAAGCCACCTGGCAGGAAGGTAAGTGGGTTTTGTTGTTTTGTTTAAGTCCAGTTGTGTTTCAAAAATTGCTACCTGGATGCTGGTCTATTACCAAATTTTCTGAACTATGATATGGGGAGCTCACAATTCAGATCTACTTGCTTGGTACAACTGATAGCATCAAGGTTCAGAAAGTCTTGCAGCAATCTCAATGATCCAGGAGCTTTGGTGGTCAGGACCTTCATGCCAAGGTGAATAAGCTTGGGTTTGTACACACTCCTTTCTACATAACTTCCAAATTATCTGGTGAAATAAAAGAAAAACTGTGCTCTTGGCTTTATGCTGTAGAGTAGTCAGAACTGCTCCTTCTGACAATGGGACCACCCTTTCCTCCATGGAGTCTGCTGGACCTACATACAAGCCTGGCAGTTCATTCTCCTTAGTAATTTCAGGGAACTTCACCTAAGCACTTGTTTTTCTTCAATATAGGCCCTTAATTGTTTAGGATTGTCAGAAAAACTCATTGGTACCGTGCTGAAGACCACAAGCAAAGTTAAATCAAATTGAAGAATTAAGATCAGAAAGAAAGAATGCCCTGGGGGAGGTCATATTGTTTTTTCTGGCTTGGTCTGAGTAGGAGTCACCAGGGATGACCAGTTTCTTAATAATTTTTTTAGGTCACTGTGAGATTCCCCTTTATTTCAAGTGATACATTTTCTTTTGGGACTTGAATATGGTTCTGAAGAGACCGTTTCTTGCCTATATATCCTTTCAATTCTATATTTTTGTTTGCTGATATTTGAAAATTACAACTTTCCTTGGTTATCGCAGTGATAAAGTATGCCTAAGTGCAATACTTACTTTAGTTTCCAAAGCATTTTTTTAAGAATTCCAGAAAGAGTCACATTTATTTCCAGCTACCTTTGGCCTCATATGTTTTTATCCAAAGAAAAATTATGACTTCGTGATGCTAATGATGGCAATCTTACTCTAAAGTGTAGTGTCTCTTGTTTATTGGACAAATCCTGCTTTCATTTACAACCACACAACTTGTCTTCCAGGGAGCTGCACAGATGTAATTGAGAGCAGAGTTTGGCTATATATTAGGGATGTCAATTAATCGCAGTTAACTCATGCGATTAACTCAAAAAAATTAATCGTGATTAAAAAAAGTAATCACGATTAATCACACTTATAACATTAGAATACCAATTGAAATGTATTAAATATTTTTGATGATTTTCTACATTTTCAATATTGATTTCAATTACAACACAAAATACAAAGTGCACAGTGCTCACTTTATATTATTTTTGTTACAAACATATGCACTGTAAAAATGATAAACAAAAGAAATAGTATTTTTCAATTCACCTCATACAAGTACTGAAGTGCAATCTCTTTATCGTGAAAGTGTAACTTACAGATGCAGAATTTTTTTGGTTACATAACTGCACTCAAAAACAAAACAGTGTAAAACATTAGAGCCTACAAGTCCACTCAGTCCTTATTCTGCCAATCGCTAAGACAAACAAGTTTGTTTACATTGATGGGAGATACTGCTGCCTGCTTCTTATTTATAATGTCACCTAAAAGTGAGAACAGGTGTTTGCATGGAACTTTTGTAGCCAGCATTGCAAGGTATTTACATGCCAGATATGCTAAACATTCGTATGCTGCTTCATGCTTTGGCCACCATTCCAGAGGACATGCTTCCATGCTGATGATGCTCGTTTTTTTAAAAAAAAAAAAAAAAAAACCCATCAATTAAATCTGTGACTGTACTCCTTGGGGGGAGAATTGTATGTCTCCTGCTCTGTTTTACCCCATTCTGCCATATATTTCATGTTATAGCAATCTTGGATGATGACCCAGCTCATGTTGGTTGTTTTAAGAACACTTTCACAGCAGATTTGACAAAATGCACAGAAGGTACCGATGTGAGATTTCTAAAAGTAGCTACAGCACTCAACCCAAGGTTTAAGAATCTGAATTGCCGTCCAAAATCTGAGAGGGTCGAGGTGTAGCACATGCTTTTAGAAGTCTTAAAAGAGCAACACTCTGATGCAGAAATTACAGAACCCAAACCACCAAAAACCTTCTGCTGGTG